TAATCTTAGAAAGATAATTACTGGAACCAATATGGAGTTTTTCTGACAAACACTTCACTAGTAATGATTAAAAATATCGTTAAATGTATTTTTCGTCTAAGTGACAGGCGTTTTTATGTCTTAAGATGATATACTTGGAAATAATGCTATATTTTTTTTAAAAAAAAATGCTTTTAAATTTATGAAAGTATAATAACTTAAGCAATTCATGACAAACAATATCTTTGGTTTTAATTTATCTCATTTTCTTCCTACTTAAGTCAAAAGCACTTGAACTCATTTAGTGAAAAGAAGGAAAAAATTAAACTTAAGTTGGATTATGTTATTTTAACTAATTACTGGTTTCGGATGTTGAATAGTACAATAATTATGAAAAAAGTAGCAAAATTACAAACAACATACACAAATTTTATTTTATGAATCTTTTTTTAGAAAATTTAAAACATTGCGATGAAATTAATGAAATATTTTATTTTTCATATTTATAGAACTAAAATTTTCTTACTTGCTGAACTTTTATATTTCTAACTTATTGAGTAGAAGTATTGACGGAGCTTCAATCTTGATACTGTGGAAAGAAGCTTTTTTACGGCACTTAATCTTTATTCTGACGGGATGAACTACTAAAAGCGTATTTTACTAAATATAGTAACGTGGTCATGGTGGCTCAGGGGATAGAGCGTTGGCCCCACAATGAGGTGATCCAGATTCAAAACCCAGCGGAGGCTAGTTGATACGAATTCTGCTCCCGGCTAGGGCCGACCACATAACTAATGTAAAATATTCTCAGTGTTAAACGAATCATAGGTTAAAGTCCCCTTGCCGTCAAGCTAACAGTGGTAAGTTTTTCACGATTCTTCTCCCCATGTAACACAAATGGAAATCTGAGTTAGTTTCATCAGAAGTACACCAATAGGTAAACGTTTGCGTTTATATATATATATATATATATATATATATATGATACTCTAGTTATGGCTCAAAAGGTGCTTGAGGAAATATCAAGTAATGGAGCATTGGGATGAGTTTATTTTTAAAATATTATCTTACGGGAGAGATGGAAATAATTTTAATACTTCTGCTGCCTACAATGCTGAAAAGTCCGGAACTCATACTTACGGTGATTTGTGCTATTTAATAATTTGTGCCGGACAGATTTTGAACTATTACTATAATTCAATACATAACTTTGACAATATTGTAGACATCGCCTGAAAATACTTAAAATTGAAATCGAAGTACTTCCGAGCTGCTGGAAAAGCCTCGTGCAACAGTTAGAGGGTGACAAAGAAATGGTTAATATTTTGCTTAAAACTAAATAAGCTGTTAGGATTGGAGAACATGTAAAATATTTAAGTTCATAATAAGTATAAGAATATTTAAGTACAGATGGACTGTGCATTCGGTTTTGTTACCATTGAAGTGTATATGTTGTTCGAGGTAATTTTGAAAGTGATAAAGCTGGTAGCCTGAGTCGTTTAGTACTCAATGAAACTTTGCGCAGTAAAATAAATTTAAACAATTATTATGTGTCCAGAATGCATGTTTCCGCGCATAAATATTCAAAAATTAACAATATGAATGAATTTAATGAGGAATTAACAATACTTAATTTCCTCTTTGGGAACATAAAACATATACCGACAGAATATCTTTGTTTTATCATGAGAACACTCTGAAAATTATGTTAAAATGACGATTTTTAAAGAAAATATATATGTTAAACTTTTTTCCTCTTTTACCAAAAAAAACGTGGTTAGAACGAATACCGCTGTTTTGGGTATTACATTTTTCATCCTGTTTCGCTGTGCAAAAACTATAAGATTTTGATACTTGAAAATAATATAAAAATGTACAAGACATGATAGTCTATAAAAATGTACAAGAATTGAGATGAAATAAAAAGATTAACAATTAAAAATTAGTTCAAGAATTATTAAATGTCAAACGTAAAGTAAAAACGTAAAGTAAAAACTTATGTGTCTTTTTGCAGCTCGCAGAAATTACTACTGAGTTGTACTTTAAAAATGTCATTTATTCCTGCCAGTTTTTTTTTAAAATTCTAATTTCTTCGAAAGTTGTTGCTGTTTTAAATGCTCTTTTTACATTTTTTTAAAAATTTTCTGCTTTACATAACTTAACGTGACATTTGTAAAGTCTTAAAGACTAACACTAGAAATTAAGGTGTGTAGAAAACTTTATCTAAAATATGATAAATAAAAAAATTACATTCGCGAATTATTAACTTTTTAAGGTGATGTTAAAAATACTATGAAGGCCACTCTGTAGCCTCCAGGAATGCAACTAAAGAGTTGAATTCTGCGGTCACTTCCATTTATGGACTTAACCCCAGTGTTTTTTTCTTTCTTTCTTTTTTTTTTTGAAATTGCACTTACTACGTTTTTAACGACGTTTTTTGCAATTTTCTTCACTTTTTTCATCTTTTGGCAATATTATGTCATGCTTTTACGAATAATGACAATTCATCCTTTGTAGCAGAAAATTATATGTATGTCTATCAAATCTTAATTTTACAAGCTTTAGCGTAAGTTGATGCCGAAATTGAAAAAAGAAAAAAATAGAGGGTGGAATAAGTAAATGTTGCTAGATCTATCTTCCTAACATCTATATTGAAATTATAGAAACTTAATTTTGTTTATAATTTGGTTAAATTAACGTTTTAAAAGTAAACAAATTTAATTTAAGAATTTAATTAAGATAAAAATTATCCCTTATTTCATTAATATAGTGGCATAAGATTATTCTTAATTATAATCCTTATTGTTAATATAATTTATTAAAAAATGCTCATTGCTTTTGGGTAAAATATAGATACAATAAATAGATATAGATTAAAAAAAGCAAAACAATGACGCTGAGCACTGATGAAAGTAGTGTATATCAGGTTTTAAGAATTATACAATCAAATTATTAAAATACTTTTCATGTATGTATCTTAATGATTTGAATTTTCTTATTTCAGCTTCTGTGTATTTTTATATTGCATTTAATATCATTAAGGCGATTCTTTCAAGAGCTGTCATGAAAAAAATTTTTATTTTTGGAGACGGTAAGTGGATATATTGACTTTTGAAATAATTTCCTTACATCATGGTCTCTATTTTGAGATAATTATAAGATGTAAAATATAACAATTAGATTCTCAAATCAGCCACCACAATTTCCTCATACCCGATTTCAATCCTAGAGATGGCTGGGAATCCGTACCAGGCTCGCACCGGCTCAGTGCTGTCGTTAAATGTACTCAGTGGTAGACGGATCATCGGTTAGAGTCGTACCATCAAGTTAGCCGTGAAGGGTTTTCATGGTTTTCTTCCCTATGTAACACAAATATGGGCTAGTTCCATCAAAATGTCATTCTTGCGGCTTCAGATTCAAAATTTAGGAAATATAGTTTCTAAAAAATATGGCTTCATGAATTTGAAAGGAGAATTGTTCAATTCGGTTATTCGAAAACAATTTCTTATGAAAAAAATTTGATAATCATATATTAATTGTTATTTTAATTAATAGATAAAGTTAAAGGATTCAAAACTTATGCAATACAGTTAAACATATAATAAATCTGATTTATAATAAATCTTATCATTAATCTGTCGTTTTCTTCACCATGTAACACTAATGTGGTTAGTTCCATCAAAAAGTCCACTACGAAGGCAAATTTTTTCGAATACTTGATCCAGAAGTTCCCTTGTCTTCTGAATCAGGTTCAAAATTACAAGGGTATATGAGTTGCAAGCATTTTCTTGTATCATTGTTAAACAAAGTTTAAAATTTTCTGGTAACTGATGGCATTCATAAACCAGGAAAATGCCAGCCAGGATAATGACGATTTGCCATTTTACAGCATTTAACTTTACTTTAATTTAACATTTCGGCCTAAGAAGTTTATTTTCCGCAGAAAACAACAGGATTTCTTGAAATAACTCAGGTAAATCTACGTAGTTCATGTTATTAATGATTTCAAGAAGACAGGAAAATGACAACATAAAAACCTACTCACCTTGTAAAATTTTTTGAAATAGATTTTGAACCAGAAAGTTGNGCGCCGAATCCAATCAATTAAAAATGAAAACTGTTGCCAGCGCGAGAAAAGAAATATCATCGGTTTTATTGATACATACATACATACGTACGTATTAGCGTTTTATATAATAAGATAGATTTTCATATCTGTATCTCAATAATTTGAAATTTCTTATTTCAGCTTCTCTGTATTTTAATATTGCATTTAATATCATTAAGGCGATTCTTTCAAGAGCTGTCATGAACAAAATTTTTATCTTTGGTGAAGGTAAGTGGTTATATTGACTTTTGAAACAATTTCCTTACATCACGGTCTCTATTTTGAGATAATTATAAGATGTAAAATATAACTATGAGATTCTCCAATCAGCCACCATAATTTCATCATACCCGGTTTGAATCCCAGCGATGGCTGAGAATCCGTACCAGGCTCGTACCGGCTCAGTGCTGTCGTTAAATGTACTCAGCGGTAGACTGATCATCGGTTAGAGTCGTACCATCAAGCTTGCTGTGAAGGGTTTTCATGATTTTCTTCCCTGTGTAACACAAATATGGGCTAGTTCCATCAAAATGTCGTTCTTGCGGATTCAGATTCAAAATTCAGGACATATAGTTTCTAAAAAACATGGTTTCATAAATTTGAAAGGAGAATTGTTCAATTCGTTTATTCAAAAACAATTTCTCATAAAAAATTGATAATCATATATTAACTGTTATTTTAATTAATAGATAAAGTTAAAGGATTCAAAACATATGCAATATAGTTAAACATATAATAAATCTGATTTATAATAAATCTTATCAAAAATCTGTGGTTTTCTTCACCATGTAACACAAATGTGGGTTTGCTCCATCAAAAATTCCTCTGCGAAGGCAAAATTTTTCCAATACTTGATCCAGAAGTTCCCTTGTCTTCTGAATCAGGTTCAAAATTACAAGGGTATATGAGTTGCAAGCATTATCTTGTATCATTGTTAAACAAAGTTTATGTCAAGTATATTACAATCTTACATAAACTGGGTATTAGGTTAATATTTGCTTTTCCTCTTTAAATTATGTTGTTTAAAAAATTTTCTGGTAACTGATGGCATTCGTAAACCAGGAAAATGACAGCCAGGATAATGCCAATTTGCCATTTTACAGCCTTTAACTTTACTTTAATTTTACAATTCGCCTGAGAAGTTTACTTTCAGCAGAAATCAACTACTGATTTTCATGTCACAAACAAATTATTGACCGAAAAAAAATATTTTCAACAAAGAGTTTTTGGAAATAATACCTTCTGCATATATGAAATGCATTTGGTGAAATGCTTACGACGGTTGAGAAAAAAAGTTAGACGTTGAAAAATTTATGGTAAATTTTGAAGCTATTTATTATTAGAAATAATGTTTGCGACATACCAGGAAAATGACATTTTGAAATTAAATTAAATTTTTTAAGTATACAAAACAGTCAATGGTAATGCAAAGTCATTTTAAAATGCTAACAACAATGCTATTTATTATTTTTTAAAAAAAAAAGTTCTTTTAGTAGTATAGTATTAGATCTTGGAGCAAAATACTGTCAATTGCCGTATTCCTTAAGAATCACCCATATCTGAGAATCGCCCATATAATTGCTAAAACGCATTTTGCAAAATTTCTTTACATCCTCACGAATATTTTTTTTTATCCAAACTTACATTTTCACTTAATTTAATTTTATCTAATTTTAGAGGGATATAAAGAAGCTCTTTTAGAACAATTTGACGCCGATGTTTTACCCGCTTTCCTGGGAGGAAATAGAACAGATCCTGATGGTAATCCCAACTGTAACACATTTGTAAGTTTAAACTTCATACAAAAATTTTCTTAGCTGCAAATATTAAGTATTAAGTTATCATCCACCCAGATTATATTCAAGGTACAATCTGTCAAGCTGCTAGCTTTCATTTTAAGTCTTATTACACTTTGAGGATAAAAAATAAATGAGCTATTATGATGAGAAATTAATTTATTTTATTTGAGAAAAAAGATGCATAAGAGTTTTGTAAACAAATATTAATTACATAATTGCTAATTTGTGAATTTTAAAATAAATTTACGAAATTTATTATGGTAATAAATTATAGCATTTGATTTAGATTAATCGAACTTATTCTAACCAGCATTTCTTATGTTGATAAAAATTACGTCGTTTCTGACAGGATGAAATAAAGATTGGTATTACCATTTGAGGTTCCATATTTGCATATTTTATCAATTGTGATTTCATATTTGGTGATATAAACTATATTGTTAAATTCGGTTGTTTCTTAACTCAGTTTTTTCTCTCCACAAGTTGGTTTAACGCATTAGCGAGGATCACAGCAAAAATGTAGGTTACTTTAGTTTTGCCAAAAATTTTTGTTACTTTACGATCTACTCTTTCGGCTGGAATTAATGTCTTTAAAACATTTCTTTATCCCTTTGTTTTAAGCAAAATTGGAAAAATTTGTTTATCAGTATTCCCAATATATTAATATTTTTGTTTAATATGATGGGGTTGAAACAAAAAAACATAATTATTTAAAAAACAAAACAATCAATCAATAAATAATAAAATAAAAAAATAAACACTTAAAAAGTTTTAAATATTTATCGTTTAAACCAGTGTTCGTCAACTTCTTTATTGCCAGGGCAGGTCAACGTTTGATAATATATTAATTTCAATAATTTTAATATTATTAGATTTAAACATGCCTTCAAAATAAAATATAGTTAGGTGCGTGGTATTGGTGCGGCCTTGGGTGACGTCTCTCAGCTACCAGTTAGCCACTCGTCCATAGAAAGTTACTCAAACCCCAGAGATATAATCACAGTAAATAAAATGAAATTAATTGAATGCTTTTAGGTATCCCGGTACCATTTAATCCACTGACCGGTAACAGTCCGTGGTCGGAGGTTGAGGGCTACTGGCTTAAATTATTTTAAAGAAAAAATTTTTGACAACTAAATTGAGGTAAAGTAAACTTGTTACACTCTTTTTCTATAAAAATGTCAGAAAATAAAAGAATATTTAATAAGTTGGCGTTAAAATCTGGATCATTTAAATTAAAATATTTTGTTTAATATAAATATTGAAATATTTTCTTTCGCGTTCTTTACAAATATATTTATTTAAATTTCACCATGAAAACGAGGGAGTAACTATTAAAAGTTAACAGACATAATAATTATAATATAACAGAAAATTTCATTAGATACTGAATTGCGCACAACAAATNTTTTATTTTCTTTCGCGTTCGTTACAAATATATTTATTTAAATTTCACCATGAAAACGAGGGAGTAACTATTAAAAGTTAACAGACATAATAATTATAATATAACAGAAAATTTCATTAGATACTGAATTGCGCACAACAAATGCTTTTCTAAAAGTTTTAAAACATTGGAAAAATATTTGATGAAAAAAATTGTAACTATAAATGTTTCTATAAATATTAAAATATAAATTCTTTTAATGAAATTTTTTATCTATTTAAAATTCGTTTAATTTTTTCAGATTATTCATGACGGAAAAGTTCCTACAGAGATGTATCGGAAAAACCGTAAAAGCAAAAAAGCACTTGCTAATCTTGATGGAGTAAAGAAACTGTCACTAAGTCGATCTTCATATTCCGAAATTCTTATTAACATTCTCGAAGAAGATTCGCAAATTGAATGGCGATTCGAAATTGAAGCAAGGGATATAGGTTTCGGTCTATTTTACAGAGACAATTCTACAGTCGAAACAGTTTTAGAAGAGTTGATTCCATTAGAAAAAGTTGATACTGTACTAGCACCTGAAACAGGTCTATACCAATGCCGAAAAATTGGAACATGTAAGTATTGTTTATATTTAGATAGGGGAAATCATGTATGGTAGATATAGAATTGGAACTGATTTGCTATAGCATTGAAATGAAGAATTTGTTAATTCATAATCTGAAACTCAATCCAGAATATACACTTGGAATCACGCTTTCATTTTGGACAGTTAATAGTTTTTAGTCATGTGTGTGATTATAGCTTGGATAAGTAGCTAAGGCGGTGTCTTGCAGAAATATGCATGATATATTTTCTAACATTTAAAAAATTTCTAACATTTAATCCTAATTTTTACTATGTAAACAAAAATTTCTAGCATTTTTTAACACTTAATTCTTCAACAGTACTATAACTGTTATAACTTTATACCTCAACCATGAAATGAGTGCAGAATAAATTTACTTTTAGAGATTCCCTTTATTATATCTGCCTAATACTTTAGCATAGAATTCGAAAGCCGTTATATGGTTGCTATTGCTTTGTATTCATTAAAATATTCATCGATATTGTTTCTCTCGCTTTCTTTTTAGCCAACATGCAAGGCAAAGAATGAATTGAATATGTAAGGCTAAGGAAAAGAGCTTTGGCATTAAATTTAAGCAATTAATAGCCAATACATGGATTCCTTAACTCTTCTTGGCAAAAACTATTTCAACGTGCGCATTACACTGGCATTTTTGATTTCTTGATGGACGGAGGTTCTATATGGGGCATGGCTCTGCAGCCGCACTCTTTGACCATTTCCCTAAATTTATTAAGAAATGAATCATGAATAATTTGTTTTTACTTTGGAGCTCCATATGATTCCATATTTCTGAAATAAAACATTTTCATTTATTACCAGCCGTATACCCGTTCTTCGCACGGGTGAGTAAAAAAAAAAAAAAANAAAAAAAAAAAAATCAATAAATCAGTACCGAGTCATGCTCAAAACTAAAAGGCATATACTGACACAATTAAAGAGCTTCATGGAAAAGCCAGATGAAGGACATTTTTAGGAGAATTAATGAATTAGAGAAAATAAAATGACATGGTAGCATTAATATGGGTACGTTTAATGTGGCAGGACTGTTTTTGATTTTACCTTTATCTTAACATAACTAATCCACAGTAGTTTTTTGCATGATTTTTATTTCAAATTAGGCAGTTGAAAATAAAATAAAGCAAAGAATTATTAGTCTAACCTTTTAATAAATTGATAATAAAATAATTCAGGTACAATTTCTTTTTTTCGTTCTGAAAATGCCTCTTACCTGGCATTTCCACTAAGTTTTCAATCAATTTAGCTGAAATATTTTCACTTTTTAAATTTAATATTATATGGTGTAATATTCGTTGGCTTTACGTTAGGAAGTTCGGTGTTCATAATTCATATCATTGGAATAAAAATAAAATGTATTTAGTATCACTTTGAATGATGCTATTTCTCGCGGCAAATTCGCGATAGTTAAAAGTTACCACTATTGGGTGATTATCTATGGTACACTTCCTTCTCGAGTGGCAGTAAAACATTTAATTCCAAAGTTAATTCCATTGAAACTGCTAAGTATTGGTGCTGTTTTAATATCACCAAATATCAATAGAATATTTTTTACCTATATTAATATATTTCGTATTATTAAGTAACCCTTTAACATTTGAGTTTTGGGTGAAATATATTTATCAGTAACAACCAACTATTATCAGTGACAATTTATCAGTGACAAGCCCCATATGGCACCTGCATCCACCAAGAAATCAAAAATGCCAATGTACGTTGAACTAGATTTTGCCAAGAAGAGTTAAGGAATCCATGTATTGGCTATTAATTGTTTAAATTAAATGCCAAGGCTCTTTTCTTTAGCCTTGCATATTCAAATGCGTTGGCTTAAAAGAAAGCGAGAGAAACAACAGCGAATTCTAATGGATCCAAAACATTAGCAGCCACATAGTGGTTTTCGAATTCTATGCTAATGTGTTAGGCAGGTATGGAGGGAATCTCTTAAAAGAAATTTAATCTGCACTTAATTCAAGGTTGAGGTATAAAAATATTACTGTTACATTACTGATTTCTTTTTATGGAAAAAAATATTAAAAAAGATAATAATTTTTTTTAAATGTTAGGAAATATGTTATGCATTTTTCAGCATGACTGGCTAGTTATTCCAGTTCTGGAAATCTCAACACTTATCTTATAAAAATTTAATTTTATGGAACATTTAATTGAGTTATAGAGCTATTAATTTTCTTAAAATGAAATTCAAGATAAATGTTATATGATTTGAATGCATGTAAAATTCTAAGGACCCAAAACCTAGAATTGGAAACTTTATCGGCATTATGTGTCCATGGCTAAGAAAGGAAACACTACTTATCGCCTCATTTGTTTTAATTTTTTAATTTGAACTATTTCGTATTGACATTAAATCAATATTTAATACCAATGAAGTGTATTTTTTAACAGCTAAAATCTCAAAGAAACCCCCATTCAAATTTTATTTAGTTTTACGATTAAAGAAGCCTCAAGAACAAATATTAACAAATAATTACAGCACGAAACAAACCTGAATCAAAAAACTCATAGGGTGCTCTGAAAAGAGCACTCACCTGAATTCAAAAATTATGTTCATCTATGTTTTATAAGCATAATTAGACAGGCCTGATAAGGAAAAAAAAATCAGATTCTTTTTGGTATAAATAAACCTTATAGTTTTGTCAAATTTCCTCAAAGGAAATTTAAAATATCATGTAAAGATTATTTTTTGAAGAAAATTAATTGTTTTGATGCATAGATTTTTTACACATCTGACTAGCAAATTATTACTAGTAAAAGTTACATCAAAGCATTAGCTACTTGAAAAATCATTTTCCCCGTTCTAATTTAAAATGAGAAAATTTATTTGTTTAATCTATTTGTATTCATGAAAACACTGATTATTAGTATTTGCACAAGAGGATAAAGTAAATGATGATTTATTATTTACGTTATGATTAATATAGTAAATAATTTTCATTTTTCTTTCAGATGTTATTTTGTTTGATAATTCTTACAGTTGGATACGTCCAAAAGAACTGTACTACACAATTCGTATCTTGAAGCCTAATAAGGAACGATATGATAATCTTTAAATGTACTTTTATAGACATACCTGGTCGTATTTCTGTTTTCATTAGCCAAAATTTGTATATTTCTTTCCAAACTTGATATAAAGATTATATTTTCTTATAGACTTGGAATTGAATTTTTTGGTATTTTGATTTAAAATTAATGGTCTTTTATGACCCCATGATCTTTTTTCTAAGCTTTCTATCATTTGGGATAAATAGTTACGTGGAATGAAGTAAAAAAAAGTAACATTAGCTGAGCTCAAGGCTTACACAACAGATTTACTACATGGATAAAAAAATTTCGTTAAAAATATCGCCCATTTCTGAAATATAATAATTGTGGTTAATTAAACCAAAATATACGGAATTTAAATAAATTCAATTGTTACTTTTTCCCTTAATTGTAAAATCGGGATTTCAAAATTATAATTTTTGTTACCTAGTGTATAGTAAAGAATGCAAAACTTAAAAGTAAACTCAAATGAATGGTTTTTATGCCAAGCACTAAGGTATCATGATATAATTATCAAACTTTACTACATTTTCCGAAGTTAATCAAAGTATTACTTTTAATATTTTCCGAAATTATTGAAAAAGCGCTTCGGTAAGAATTACTGAACTTTTTCATAGTTTTTACCATATTTCTTCAGTATTCGATGGTCTGGAATTCATAATTAATTATAATCCAAAGAAAACACTGGTGCACATTAAATTATCAAGATTTATAATCTTTGGAAAAGGTAGTGATAAAAATCACACGAATTTCTCACAATGATTCCAAGCACTCGAACAGCAAAATGCCAAAATGAGGATAAGAGTATATTTTGTGAAAAAACAACGTGAATGTAGCATGAATAAATTTACAGCAATGGATACATGATAGTTTCTGTTCTATAAACAAGAACTAACCTCACGGATTAAATATCATTTTATTTTTTATGTTTAGACATGAGGTAAGTTCTTGTCTGTGAAACTATAGCAAGTCTATTAAGTTTTTGCCTCATTACATTAAGATACGTTTGTAGAAATTGAAATTCGATCTGACACCCAGTGATTAATTCGGGGAACAAGTTTAACGTTGATGATTTTCGTATTAATCGCAGAACTAGGATTCTTAGCACTCTAGTTGCCTGAAAAGTGTTTGGAATTTTCTTGGTGACAAACTTTATTTAGTGATTAAAAGCACCTAATCGTAGTGGGCATAAAACGATTGAGACTTCAGCTGTCATAAGACAATGAGATGCTGTTGCAATTTGTGCTTACTAGGAAGTCATAAAATGATAAAATTTAGATTAAAAATAAATTTCATTCGGATATAAAATGACGATAAGTTCTACTTGAAGCGGCAAGAAAGTAATTAAAAGCGCGTTTCAATCAAGCTTGGAGTTTCAGTGAAGATTTGAGTGCTCTAGATAATCGGAAAAATGTCAAAATTTTAATTAAAGGTTTCTCTCACAGACATAAATCATGCTAATAAAAATGGGGTAATAAAAGCTTAAAATTTTCATCATGTGAAAGAGAATTAACTGTAATATTTTCATATATTAAAAAAACCTGAACATTTTAAAATTTTTTGTGTATTCTCTTAAACCCTTGCCGGTTCAGTGTGTCTAGTCTGATCACACTTATGACCCCTAGAATATAGGGGGTAGCCATATGGTTCCAAAAGTTTGGGCAGGAAAGCCGTCCAAAATTTGGACTCCGTATTATTGGGTCTTATTATTATAGGCTTTATTATTTGGTCTTGTCTGTCTGGACCTGTGTTCAGACAGACAGGACCCTGGTCCAATAACACAGCTTGAGGTGCAACAAGCAACAAAATTGCCTAAATGTGAGCAAGCTGCTGTCGGAGTTAAAATACCTGATGAACTTTTCATGGAAAGTTTAAAAGCTGCAATCAAACCTGTAACTGACCTGTTTAATAAAATCACGAAGAGCGAAGAGTTATCTATTGACAGGGGTGAAGGCCTGATGATAAAACTAACAGAAAAGGTGATTTGAAAATGTGTGACAATTGGAAAGGAATAGCTTTGTTAAATGTATGTACCAAAGTTTTCACTATAATAGTGCAGGAAAGAATAAAAAATGCAAAAGCCTGCGACCGGAACAAGCAGGTTTCAGACTTAATAGATCATGTGTCGACCACTTTGCTACATTAAGGATTATAGCCGAGCAACTTATAGAATGGCAATAAACAATATATTTAAATTTCATATATTTTGAAAAAAACTTTCAGCAGTTTACATAGAGCAACAATCTAGATGGTGTTGAAGTACTATGGAATTCCAAAATGTTTTGTAAGCATTATCAGAAATGTATATAAAAACTACCCTATGCGAGTTATCCGTATCAATTAACAATCAAAATCTTTCAAGAATNTTAGAGAATAATGAACTGAAGGAGGTAAGTAGTTTTGCATATCTTGAAAGAATAATTAACAACAAAAAAGGAACTGATAAATTTAGCAAATAAATTTAACAAAGCTCAAAGCAATTAAGCTATTCTCAATAAATTCTGGAAAAACAAAAACATAACAAATTCAATAAAATCTAGAATTTTCAATACTAATGTTAAACCTGTCCTACTATATGGATCTCAGACATGACACTGCCATAAAAATAACAAGAAAAATCGTCAAGTATTTATTAACAACTGTTTAAGAAGAATCTTTCGTATCAAGTGGTTCCATGAAATTTGTAAACCAGAAATCCTTAGAACAACCCAACAGAAACCAATTGATCTGGAAATCGAAAAACGTAAATGGAAATGAATTGGTCATGTTCTACATAAACCAGAAAAAGTTAAAGTAAAAAGTTTTTTATTGGAAACCTCAGGGCAGTAGAAAGAGAGGAAGACCAAAAAATACTTGCCCAGGACGATTTTTTTTGTCCTGTTCCTGTTTGTAAGTGGCGCCATCTATGGCTAGGAATTCGACTTCTGCCACGCCATTCACACAACCGCAACCCGTTTATAGGGCGGGTCACATTCACACACAAAGGAGAAAGGACAAAGAACACACAGAGAGGGAAAGAAACATCCATGCTTTGCCCGGGATTCTAACCCAGGACCTTTCTGATGCAAGGACAGTTCTGATAGAAGTCCTATGCTCTAATCCGGAGTGATAAGGATATGTATGTCAATTCAGAAGAAATACGTACTTTTCCCTCAAATTCGGATTTATCCTCTCCAATGTAAAGGGGGGATGTAGACAAAGTTTTATACAGCTGGCTTTTACAGTTTAACTGCAAAAAAGGTTAAAAATTTCTTTTACGTTATTTTACAGTATCACATATCTCTTCATATCCTTTGAATGATTGTTTAATTTTACAATAATTATTTTACAAAAAGTAGGACCTCAACCTAAGGACAAATAAGCAATATAATGCAGACTATAACGGAATTAAATAATTTTTATCTATTAATTTGTTAATGAAGAAAAACTTCTTGACTTGTAAGGTGCAAAACGTTTTTATTTTTTAAAATCTAAATCTAGATTTTTATACCATTTAATCAATAAAAAGGTGCTTAAAAATTGATTAAAAAAATTAATGATAGAATGATATTGAAATGACATCCCATTTTGAGATTCAATCGCCAATTTGCAGTACTTCATATTTTACGTCTTACGAGTTAACCTATAAATGAAAGAATTAATTCTTTTTTTAATGATTTATATCTGTGGAATTAAGAAACGCCCATAATTTTAAGAATTTGCTCGATAGTTGGCAGATGTTCATCATTTTTGGATTTGATGCTTTCTTTTTCCTGAAACTGTTTTAGGTTTTGATTTCAACCGTACTTTCAACATCTGTAGACTTAAGAAATTCCCATAATTTTAAGAATTTGGTGGATAGAAAATTAGCAGATATTAATAATTTTTGGATTTGATGCTTTCTTTTTCCTGAAACTATGTGTTTTAGGTTTTGAATTCAACCGTACTTTCAACCGTCTTCATTAGTTATCGAATAACAGATATGTTAAAACGTTCTTTCTCCTCAAATAGAGCTACTGCTTTAAAATTTTAAAGAATTACGTTTTCAGAAACTAGATGAGGCGAAACTGTGGAACCAATGTACTTTTTACTAAAACCTTCTTGTCAATTCATAAACAGCCGTTTTATTTTAGTGTTTTAGCCAATTAAAAATTGCAGAAAATCTTGTAATAAAGCTAAGTTCTTTTTCTCTTTTTTCGTATCTGCCAACTGCCACTTTTGTTACTGAATATGATTTGAAAGGAGTTAAACCTTTGGGATATAGAAATTAATAAAATATATAAATAATCTGAATATATGAATTATCCGTTCATAAATTATGCAAAAATAAAGCGATTTCTGCCGTACTGACTAATACAAATACCTCAAGAAATAGTCAGCTATATGCTTTCTTATTAAAAAAAGTTCTATGATATGAAGTGCAATATTCAGTCATTTATAAATATGTTTGATAATTTCAAGACTAAATAAAATGCTGCTATTGCTTAAAAAATCATTGAAATTGGAATATGAAAATGCTCGTGATTATTTCCTCTTCGTTTCCACTTTACTTAGCTTTACTCTTTTTTCTCTTTAGTTTTCATCGCGCATAAAATAAAAGAAACAAACTTGTACAGCTTTAGATATGCTAAGAATTTATCATATTGATAATAAAAACATAGTTCTGATTTTACTTTTTTATAAGAAAGCAATTTAAAAATCCAATATTCATTTGAATAAGCATCAGCGTATCAGATATCATTTTTAATATTATTATTGTCTTATATTTAAAATTTGCACATTTCGAAAGGACGTTTAAACTTCTTTAGATCGAAGTTTATAATAACAATCTCAGAAGGAATATAGGAAAGGCACACATAAAAACTGAAGTCACATTAATAAACTCTTTGAAGAAAATATTGCATGAGAAATTAGAGAAGTCAGCATTCGCGTTCTTTTATTCAAGTTTTGTCGCTGAAATCATCCTATAGCCGTGAGTTATAATATATTTGTGAGGTTTGTAGCATTAATAAAGTTTATTTTATTAATAAAAAAATAAAAGC